CGACGAATGAATGTTGTTTGTGCCGCACAAGTATAACTAACAATTAATTGCTTTGTAAATACAGAATTGTTTGGTATCGCATTCACATTAATTTTAGACTCCGCGAACATTCGATTACGAAGCTATTGGCGCCCAGCGTGGGACTCCAATTTAATTTATAGTCCCTTTATTGGTTTCGTATCCTTTATTATATTTGGTTTATTGTTGACTTACGTCTAATGAAGTACACTTGAACTGGATGTTAGAAGACCTGTAACAAAATAGTATTAGTATTAGAAACATGATCTAGCAATTATTACAAAGTATGAAGAAATTTGCCTAAAAAACACGTTTACAAAAGCTATCGTGAATCGATGATCTCAATGAATTTACAGATTGAGAAAAACGTTGACAAACTCATTTAAAATTCAAAAGTAGTCCCAGCCCCTTGCCACTCAATAATCGAATTTACAAGTTTTACAGAGTCTGACAAACTGATACTTGGAGGAAGTTGTTGCTATTACAGTATAATGAATAAGAGCTTAAGTTTACACGTACAAACGTACATGCAAACGTACATTTTGAATACAAGATGCAAGTTCCAACTACTAACTTGAAATTGAGTTCTCAACTTTAGTTTTAACAACAACGTATTTCGACTTTACTGGGACTACCCTACAAAATTTTGGAAGTGTGCATCAGGTTGTAGTAGGTTTTTAAAATGTTATTTTAAGTTTAAATTGTTCACAAGACACGGAACATTGTTTTAGAAAACACTAGAGAATCGCCCTGGCTCCGCACGGGTGTAATGCCGATACTAAAGTTCCCCACTGTTTAATGGATTTTATTATACATATAATTCCTCTTCAATTACTCTGACTATTAAAAAAAGACATCAAAATATTTTTTGTAGTTTTAAAGATTTAAGCATTCATAGGGACAGAGAAAGCGACTTTGTTTTATACTATGCAGTGGTAACACACGTATCTATAAGATATATTTTAAAATACATTTTTTCCAAATCGATAAAAAGGTCATCAACCCAGACATATTCTAATGATTTTTGTTCAAACAAATTTCCGCAAGCGCGCACTTCCCTTCGAATGAATTAAAACGCATTTCACCCAGTGACTTCCACGCTGTAATCGTATTTAGACACGTTGAAACAGCCTCAGTTGGCTGAGTCGTCAAACTAGATGTTCCGGATGTCTTTTGTCAGAATCGTCAGACGTAGGGGGTCCATTTGAGCGAATGCACCCGCGGGACGCTAATGAGATTAGCGCGATGTACAGGGGTGCACTGGGACAAATTAACGCCCGGGGTACTTTTGTACCCGTTCTGTAGCCCATTTTCCTTGGCTTTGTAAGTAGCTTGGAGTTGAGATTTATGTGCCACGGAGTTTTAATTACCGCGATGACTCTTTTGGAACGTTTGCAACTTTTTTGCGAAGGTGTGATAAAAGATGTAGGATGTGATTTATTTTTGTTGCGTGTTTTTAAATTGAAAAAGTTTAATCAACGAGGAAATTGTTGTTTATGTGTTAACCTATATACTTATTAACGTTTCTACTCTTAATGTTTCGTCTAGAATAAAATATAAGAAAAGTTTGTAAGCTAACGAGCAATGAAAAGGAGAGTTCTAAGCTCGACCTTTGACCAACAAAGCGGTATAAAACAATACCTACATTCTCAATCCTATTACACCGACGAGCTTACAAAAGGAAAACCGAGCTTAACTTTTGCATCCGAAAAGGTTTTATCCCAAAATACTTTCTTATTCCGGGAGCAAAACATGTTTGTCGACATGACAAGATCCTACATCATTCAGTGAGTCATGCCCGGTTCCCGGCACCCGGACGTTCTGTCGTAAAACGTAAAAAAAACTCTTCGGGAACTCCACTGCAAACCTCCAGTTTAACTTGTAAAGAGTTTCCGTTGTAAGACAGAATTATGAGCCAAGTTTACGCTTAACTGCAGAAAGTGTTCTGGGGAGAAAACAAAAATATATTACCTTACGAGAATAGGTACGCAAGTTCAATGGCAGACATCTTAATTTCGTTGTCATTGTGAGTTATAGAACTTTCTATGAGCCAATTATATTATCGATTCTCGTTTGTTCTTAATTAAAAATGTTGCACATATGGAAGCGTTTTTTTGTATAGAAATAATATTTGGATATTTTTTTTTTTTTGAGGAGGAAATCGTCGAATAGCTTCTTTCGCTCTGTAAAGAACGCAAGTGTCAGAGTATACTGACTAAAAGCTATCCCGTTCCTTACCCTGTTTCAGGGTGAGCCTGCGATACCTTATGGTGATTCACCCACAACCCCAGGTGAACATAATCCCTGGTGGGCCATATCTGTCTATTGGCAGTCTGGAGCGCACGACGACCGAAGCTTTCATATTAAAATTTAGTGTGCATTTGCATTTCTTGCACCGTTATTTTATCATCATTATTTTGGTTAATTGGTTACTATTATTTTGTAACAGTACCAGAATATTCGAAACAATTTTTTTTTGTTGCAAATATTGCAAACATCTCTGTATCCTACAAAGCAACTACTACCTATATAAATATAATTTAATTTAAAACAGCTTTACAAAGTAAAATTCTCAAAGGTACAAACACAACACTGAGTCAGTACTACTAACTATGTTGCTATAGGTACTTAATTATTATTTAGTATTACGGTTGAAAATCAAGTAAAAGTCAGTACCTACATGTTGTTAAATGTTAAATAAAAAAAGTAAGTAAGTAAGTGACTTTAAAATGTGAGTGTAATTAAGAACAAGTAGGAAACTACGAAGTTTCCTGTATTTTACACTCACAATAGCACGTTGTAATTTTCCTCTTACCACCTTTGTTCAAATAAAATCAAAGTTTATTCGCAAAAATGTGTATGCACACCTGTTTGTTGATATTAAAGTACAATTGACGGCGGTTGGCGCAGTGATTGAGCAACCGACTTCCGAGCAATGTGTAGCGGGTACGAGTCCCTCACGAAACGATTCTTTGTGCGATCTACCAATTGTTGTAACGGGTCCGGGTGTCATATGTATGTAAAATTTTATGTCTATAACCTAAACAGGATAAAATCCTAAAATGGGGCAAACTGCACTTATAGATCGTATTTATCATATTACAAATTTCTTTAACACGAAGGGTTAACATTTTACGCGTGTTTTTTCTATTCATATTACTCAACTTATTAAAACAATACAAGAAAAATTTAAAAATACAAAGTTAATCTTTACTATTTCATAAATAAAAAACTGTACACGAACCGTTGAAAACATTCTTAATCCATTTGACTCATTGCACTTAGTCGTTTTTAATTACATTACACTAAAGATATAATCGATGGTCAACAAAATACACCACACAACAAAAATCCCGTTGATTCACTAAAAACAACACTTACGCCGACAAAAAACACAGAATCATTTTCAAAAAAACGGATATAAAAAGCGCTTTGCATCACAAAAAGCGGTTGTAACCAGTGTGCTAGGGGTGGCTTGCACTTAGGGGTCTAGGGGTAACATCCCCTTACAAAAGATGGTTGGCAACGCATTTGTATCGATTTACGCGGAACGAACCGTTACTACATGGTAATAAACTGTTGTTGAACGCGTTGGACGCAACGTCGGGTGCTTTGGCAAATGAGAATTTCTAAACACAAGCATTGAAAACGGTAAAATGAATCGTATTGCCTTGGTGATAATGATTTTGTTTAAAGTTGTTTATCGATAGTTGATTGGTAGAGAATGCACTATGATATTAGATCTTCCTTTTGTATCAACTTCATTAAGGCATAAATTAATCAATAAAAAGTTACCTTCCGCTTGTCATTTGTACGATTTAGCGCTTATTTTCAATGGTCAGATAAATGTTATTTGAGGAATAAAATTGTTGATGTCACTGTCTTATACAAACATGCTGACGCGACAGCATCATAGTTATTCCCCAGGTAACTTTTATCGCTTTTATTATTATTCTTAAATTTATTAACTTCATCAGCTTACGCTGTGAGTGTAAGTGTCGACCTAGTCTAATCAAGATTCGCCAAGTTCAACGTAACAGATAACAAAAATATTTATTCAAATCATAATAGTAGTAGATCAAACAAATAAAACAAACAAAATTTACAACTGTATTTAATCAGTACAACGGATTAAAGTTTTACACAAAAGTTCACCTTGAACTTGAAAATTACAACTTACAATGACGCAACAAACCAAAACAGATTCTTGAATGAATAGAATTTATAATGAGGACATTGACACTGACAAGACATCAATTTGATTAACCTTTTTGGTCGTCACCTCTTAGATCTATAAAACTTGATTTATAATGATCTTAAAGAACAGTGTTGTAAATAGGTGTAAGAAAGATTTTTGTAAGTTAGAGAACATAGAAGAAATAGTCTGCTTACGCAGGTTAAGTGAGGAGTTTAGGATTTACAAAGTCAAGGACGTTAAGTGTAGTTATTATGAGATATTATCCAAATCTTAATCATAATAGTAGATAGTCCCTAAATCAACATTAATCAACGACCAGTCTAGACTTTAGAAGTAAAAATCTAACCTAAAGACCCGTTACGCAGTATTTTACACTTAGTAGAACGTAAATAAACAACTAGAGACAATGTTCAATCAAGAGAACCCGAAAGGTATGAAAATACAAAAGAAAACAACAAAAACAAAACAAACCCGGCAAATGACCTTGAATCTTATCAAGGACCCGAGGGTGAAATAGCTCATAATAAACTAGGCAGGATAACAAAAACAGTAACTTCCAGGAATGAAGATTATGATCGTGATGATTACACATCAGTAGTTGAAACAAAAGATATGTTAGAAAAACATGCACCGGCGATGTACTACAATGCCAGAGATTTCAATGGGACCATTGATACAATTATTCAATTGCCAAGGCCGTGTCGTATGAAGCTAATGATGGACTGTGGGCGTCCACGGTCACCCCTATATAAACCTGTTTGACTAAATTACTGTAAGTAGTGCAGAAATGGCGTTACAGTCGGTTAGTGCGTTGTTCGTTGGAGTTCTGTTGGCATGGAGCGTCGCGGCCCCCAGCGACCGTGAGTGTTTCAATACATATAATGTAGATGGGAATGAGACAAAGGGATCAAGTGCTTTTACTGTCAAGAAAACATTGGATGGAAAAAGGGTTTTGTGATAAAATAGAAATGTAAAACTAAAAAGACAGGTCAAGCTTTATGCAAAACTCGAAAATTAGGTACATTTACAATGGAAGGTTTCAAGTAAAACGAGGTCTATTCAATACAAACACACATTATTATTAAATAAAATATTGCCTTCATATACACTACCGCCGTGGTTCCATAAATCGCGTCGGAATATTATTATTCAACACGGCTCAACAAACTTTCCGTGAAGGTTCATCTCGTTTGAGGTATGCCACCGTTGTGATTGGATAGAGCTCCCGACATGGGGCTGACGTGACCATTCCGACATAAATTTTAAGTGGAAGAACTTCTGCCTACTTGAATATTTAACTCCGACCTTTGCAAAGCCACTGAATCCATTCCGGCAAAGCTAGTCTATTCTAAATTTAGGGTTAGAGAAGTTTAGTGTAAACAGTAAAATAAATCCGCAGCAATTTAGCTTTTAGCTAAACGTTCGTGAATTAAGATACAAAGGTAATTTAGAGTGACTAAATAACTAAGTAGAACACAGAATATAAATGTAAAGTTTATTCTGACAAGTCCACGTGAGGATTCGCCAAGCGGTAAGGATCGATGCTACCTAGAAGGCGCAGTCTATAAATAAACTTGAAAATTCTGTCTTGGAACTGAATTGTTTTCCTGAAGACTTTACGCGGACTTCTTTTTGTTAAAACAAAAGAGTTGCGATGTAAATTTGTCTACGGAAAGAGAAATGTTTCGGGGACGATGGGATAACTTGAAAACGTTTTAGAAAAAATATTTGTTTGGAGTAGTTTCGAAACATTAGTACTTAGCTTCTTTATTAATATCGAAATAAATAATCACGTCGAATGGTCAAAGATACGATGACCGTTAGGAATTTGTGTTTACACAAGGCTTGTAAGAGATTATGAAAGAATGATAGGTAACAAAGTAGAAAAACTAATGACAAAAATCCATCAACATTCGACGACAAAGAAAAACTATTACTGAACAGCAAAAACATGAAAATCGCAAGTTTAATTCTAAACAATCACATAAGTAAAAACCATGATTTCTTCACACGCAAACATACCTACGTACACTTCAATTTATAAATAACCTGAATTGCTTAACGGTATTTGTAGACGATGCGATGGTAGCAATTGGTAATGGCGAAGTAATGACTTCTGAATTGCTCAGTTAAATCCAATATGTCGCTGACTCGTTGCTAAATTCTTGTTCGCGCAACAATCTCAGTGGGATTTTAATGGTGGCAGTAAGAAAAATGACGTATATGTAGTAGTACGTAGAAAACATGATGATAAGCCTCTGTTTCTTCAATGGGGATCTGATAAACATAGCACATTGATTTTTCGAAAATTCAGTCAAAACTTTATGAATAGTGGTCTGGTGTTATCATCATGATTGGATGAGTTTCTCAAAGATAGACTTTTTAAGTGACATGGTCATGCAAAAACAAACAGTAGGTAGTATGTTTATCAACACCAAACGAGGCTTGACACAGAATAATTGAAAGGCGACCGTGGATAATTATGTGAACTTGCGTACCGTGAAATTGTATTGGCCATAATAAAAGTACTAATAATATCCGGTTTAAATTTGAGATGGAATTAGATAGTGAAACTGGTGGGTTAGCTAGAACATTGTTTGTGTAAAACACCAAAATGTAACCACGATTTAGTGTACCTTCTTCCTGGTACATTCAGTTTCGTTTTCATTTTGGTAACAAGAAGACCCAAAACCATTAAATATTTAAGTTTACTTTACGTTACTTTTTTTTAAGTTTTAAATTTATCTGTTAGAAGTTTACTTACGCCTTCAATTCGTTGCCCTGGAGCTGCATTCTGGAGGCACTCCGGTATCACCGGGTGCCTGCTTATCTCCGTCGTGTAGTCGAGGCTTACTTGACGGACAGATGCGTCATCTACCCCGGTCACCGGGGCGTGTGGAATCGGCGAGAGGTGTCGCGCGGTGTTCCACAGGGATCGGTCCTGGGACCTCTCCTGTGGAACATCGGGTACGATTGGGTGCTACGCACCGACCTCCCGAGCGGCGTCAACATTGTTTGTTATGCTGACGACACGCTGGTGCTGGCGAATGGGAGGTCACATCAGGCGGCGGCCGACCTGATGTCGCAAGCGGTCGCGACAGTCGTTGCAAGGATCCGGCAGTTGGGACTCGAGGTGGCGCTTCACAAATCCGAGGCCATGTGTTTTTATGGCCGTCGGAACGCGCCACCTCCAGATGGGTCCCAAATAATGGCAGGAGGAGTTACCATCGGCGTCGAGTCGGCGATGAAGTACCTGGGTCTCGTCCTCGACAGCCGATGGAATTTCACGGAGCATTTTCGTCGTTTGGCTCCTAAGTTGGAACGGTCTGGGGCCGCGCTCAAGCGGCTCCTTCCCAACCTCGGGGGGCCAAACGCCTCCTGCCGGAGGTTGTACATGGGGATTGTGCGATCCATGGCCCTCTACGGTGCCCCTGTGTGGGCGCCGGATTTGAAGCGGCGGCCGGCTCGTACGCTGGCCGCGTCCCAGAGGGTCATGGCTATCCGAATAATCCGCGGATATCGCACAATCTCCGGGGAGGCGGCGAACCTCCTTGCCGGATCACCGCCATGGGATCTGGAAGCGAAGGCGCTCGCGCGCGTCTACAGTTTGCGCGCAGACGCGCGTCGCCGGGGCCGGGGCGAGGATCCTCTGCCGCGCCAAATTAGTGCGTGGCGGAATGAGCTCCGGCGAGATCTCATGGCTGAGTGGAAGCAGCGACTGTCGCAACCGAGGGCCGGGCACGCTACTATAGCAGCGGTAAGACCCCTCTTTGAGGAGTGGCTTGAGAGACGCCACGGCGTCCTCACCTTCCGCCTGACGCAGGTGCTTACCGGGCACGGCAGCTTTGGTAGGTTCCTGTTTCGGATCCAGCGGGAGGAAACGCCCGAGTGTCGTCATTGTGAGGATCACCTGGAGGACACGGTGGAGCATACGGTGGCGGAGTGCCCTGCTTGGGCTGAGCACCGCCGTGTTCTCAGGGAAGTGATCGGCGGCAGCGACCTCTCGCGCCCGGCCTTAATCGAGGCCATGGTGCAGCGTGAGAGGAACTGGGAAGCTATCTCCTCCTTCTGCGAAGCAGTAATGCTCGCAAAGGAGGAGGCGGAGCGCGTGAGGGAACTATCCTCCTCGCGCCCCAGCCGCCGCAGAAGGCGACATTCCGGACGTCGGGGATCGAGGGATGATCTCCGGCCACCGTAAGAGCGGGTCTGCGGACGGCGAGTAAGGGTAGCTCGCCGCCCGACCAGAACTGGACCCGAGCGTACGGCGCGTAGCGTTCCGCGCGCGCCTCAAAGAGCCAATAGACCACCACAGTCGGGGCCCTAAAGGGCTGATGTTTAGCCGGGGCTGCGGGGTAAGCGCAATGAGGCACCGCGACCTCGGCCCAGAGCAGGAGAAGGAACGGGGGGGTTTTTAGTCAGTAAGAGTCTGACACTCTCTCTCGCCTTACCCTGGGCGGGAGAAGTCATTGGATGATTTTCCCCTGACAAAAAAAAAAAAAAAAAAAAAAAAAAAAAAAAAAAAAAAAAAAAAAAAAAAGAAGTTTACTTTCTTAAACATTTTGTCAATGTTCGTTTCTGATGAGACAGATAACTGACAATCCCGTCAATACACAGGATCAAGCAAAAGAATAACCTAATAAAAACTGTTGTGAAAATGAAGAGATGATCGTAAACATTTTCACTTTTAATATCCAAACAGTCAAACACCATTCGATGTAGAAGTAATTTCCCTCACCCTAATACCAATTCTTCAAAGCACAAGTTCGTTATTGTGGAAAGGGTTGTTCTCGCCCGAGGCTGCACACCATAAAAAGTATGTAGGTCTAACGCCAAATAAATGTTTCACGGCAGACCCACAAGCTTTACGAGTCTCGTTTTAATGCGAAACTTCGTTCAACACCAAAAAGTGTAATTCGCTAGCGTAGGTAGGTACGTAGTTTGTATTGTATTTTACTCATGCTATTGTCATCAAGTAGAGTTATTAAAACTTTACACGTAAACTCTAGAATATGTTCTTAAGCGACCATACTGTGTACTAGACTAGCTACTCTCACGCGGTTTTACTCACTGCTCGACTCCATTTGATCGTAACGTGATGTTTCATAGCCTATAGCACTCGGGAACATTGTAGCTATCAATCAGTGAAAGAATTTTGGCAATCCGACCAGCGGTTGCAAAGATTACCCCCTACATACAAACTTACAAATTTTACCTCTTTATAATATTAGTATAGATAGTATAGAAGTATAGACTTGTATAGAATAGTCAAATTGTGTTACTTACTAAGGCACTGTAATAATAAACAATAATCTCAAAGATCCCTTTTAATCTGTCTCAAGGGACAGAGAGAGTAATTAATGAAAAATATTTCGTTCAAAAAAACTAGTCCAAAGAGGAGCTAGTCCAATCCATCGTCAGAACCAGTTTATCTGCCGCACCAAGATGGTTTTATAATTGATTCAACTAATACAATTCATTTTTTACCTTACCACTTTAATTTTACGTTTCTTTTTCATAAAGCAGAGTGCGCGTCCGGCCTCACATTCTCTTGTAGATAATTATTGGGTAGAAAATAAAAGATGATTTTTTAAGGTGCACACGTAATAATATATTGACTTTGATGCGATGCAGCTGGACTGCATCCGAGGTAGTTCTTTGGAGCACTTGGTAGATGCAATAAAGATATTTCAGATGAGTTTAAATGATACAGATAAGTTATATGAACTTATTACTGGGCGTCTGTATTACTACTTCGTGGGAGAAACCAAGAAGCCAACATTAATTACATCTTTATTGCAGAAGCAGTAAGTGCTATTATCATAGATCGAGTTTTGCGATTCGGTTTCTATTGCACGGGAAT